TCAATCGGATAGGTTAACGTACATGCTTCGGGATCTACAACGCAAGAGGGACAGTACGAAGAAACCAGTTGACGTTGTAACGGATAACATGACACGATGGTTGTCCCATTATAAGATGATGGATCGAGCCCTTCTACTGCACGACTTTCTTGACGACCTCGTCGCATTGGAACAGTTCGAATATACCCGAAGCAGGTCAAAGAAGAAAGACATGCCTGCATGCCTCCGAGATTCTGACCTGCTGACCGGTAACGACTGGACAGTGATCAGCCACTTTCGGAATATTCTTAAGCACTTCGAAAATGCCATCAAGGCCCTCGAGGGAGATGCCCAGATTCGGGTGCGTAAGGGCGGCAACCTCGTGGCATACGGAACAGCATGGGATATTATCCAAGCATTCGAATATCTCCTTGAACGATTGGAAGAGGCAAAGGAATTCGCCAAGGATGCCTGATTCCGAGCATTTCGCGATAAACGTCGAATTGGGGTGGAAGAAGTTGGAGAAATACTATATCAAGTTGGTTGAGTGCCCGGTATATTATGCTGCAGTCGCTCTCCATCCCGCCTTGCGACTGCAATGGTTTGAGGAGGCTTGGGCTCATCGACCTGAATGGGTCCTTGAGGCACGACGGATTGTTCGGGGCATCTGGGAACGCGACTATAAGTCATTAATTCTCAGCGATGACGAGGCTATTCCGATGGTTAAACGTCGAAAGGTTGACGACTTGAACGAGTTCCAACAGTTCCGACTGAGGCACCGGCTACAAGCTGGTCAGACGGCCACAACCCGTCGTGGGCCACCTACTGCCGATGAATTCGATCGCTGGACTGTTGATATCGGCGCAGATGACGGAGACATCACGGATCCGTTCCAATACTGGCAACTCAAAGAGTCAACGTATCCCAGACTTGCTCGAATGGCCTTTGATATGCTATCTATACCGCCAATGTCAGCAGAGTGCGAGAGGGCGTTCTCATTTGCTGGGCTAATGGTCACACGACTACGCAGCCGGCTTCAGGCTAACACGATCAATGCAGGCCAGGCAATTCGGTCTTGGCTGAAGGCAGGGCTAATACCCGACTACCAGGGGATTATTGATGCTTCAGTCGATGACGATGTCTTCCCCGAAGAGGTGCCCCACGAAGGACGAGAAGTTGATGGTGTTGAGGACCTAAGTAGCTTACTAATAGGTAGGGTAGGGCATCAACTCCGTCAATCAACGCAATCAATTCAACGAGGGCTTGGATTGCTCAACTCAACGAGAGGTTCGCTGATGTAAGCCGTCAATCTGCTCAATTTGACTCTTTGGTTGAGTTGATTGAGTGGTTTGCCACCCTGTGTGCCGAGGTCAACATGGTCAGGCAAGGAAGTCGGCGGCACCCTGGCGCTTGCCCAATGCCCATTCTCCTAGTCCTGAAAGGCCACTCTTTCCGATAGATACAAAAATAGAGAGAATGCCTGAATAACATATCGGTTGCTGAAGCTAACTCTGTGCAACTCGGACTGCTGTATTATGTAACCCCTGCTCCGCTCAGAAACTACCAATTTCGCTGCGAAGCTGGTGGAAGCAGGGTGGTCAATGTCCGAGGAAGGACTCATATACAGAAAATTTGCCCAAAGGCATGGCATGGGACGATTTTTACAAGAGTGAAGAGGTTGTGGGAAGACGAATACAAGAACTTACCAACCGTTTGTAATACCGTAGTGGCGGCGAGGCTCTCTGAAGTAGTTATTTGTCGAACTGGTAGTTCAACCTGGCCGAAAGTCATAAAACATCCCAGTGTATCTGCGCGAACAGTAGGGTTCAATCTGGTGCGTCCGCCAACGCAGAAATTAAGGACTGAGATGTCGCTGTCTCGAAGGCTTGTCTCCGAGTACCTTGCGTCCATTACTGTTTTCCAAGCTAAAGCGGTGAGGACGTCATTTGTTGAATAATTTCGTATTTCTGCGAGGTTACTGCAACGCGAAACATCTCTCTTCAGACGTGTGAGAGCATCAGGGCTAAGGCAAAAAACGTGACCGAGATAACCCTCGGTAGTTGAAACGCCACGAACTTGTGTTGCAGTGTCCGTGAGCACGGTGAATTCTGGATGGTCCTCGATCCGTCCAGGCTGGCAAACCACTCAATCCTGGCAACCGGTTGCTCAATCCAGTTGAGCAACTGGCAACTCAATCAACGCAATCGATGGTCGGCTGATTAAGCCGGCAATTCAATCCGATCTCGCGTTGATTGACGGGATTGACGGAATTGCCGTTGACGGTGGAAAGTGTGTAGGGTAGATGACCAGTGGATTATATGAAGAAATCTCACCCAAGCCGAAGCGTCAGCAGCTCAGGGCAGATTGACAATTGGACCAATCATCCATTCTGACAAGAGTCCCTTGCTGTTATGAACGCGACGCGCTCGTGTCTGAACCTGGCGTCCACGCGTTCATGAGTAAGGGGGAAAGTGACCCAATCATCGTGCCGCAATCGGGATGTTTGTAACGCCTCTCATATTATCCCACTCTTCTCTTAGATGGGCGACTATCTCGATTCTTTGCCTTCTGCAGGCCCCAAGGCAGTCGAGAATGGGAAACATTTCCATGGCAGCACTTTCGCGGCTACACCAAATCCCAACGCGCCGGCAAGCTCAAGTCGTGGATTTGGCGCTTTGGGTTTGACATTGAGCATCAAGACAACGGGGACAATAGGCTGTGGGTATGCGGGACCTGTTCGGTCAAGAAATCGCCCCAAGGACCCCCAAGCTTTGCAGCGAAGGGAACGACAAATATCGAGCGCCATCTGCACGATGCGCACCGCATTTCTGGGCCGTTGGGGAAACGTCTGCCGAAAGGTACGACAACAAAGAAGCGCTCTATCGCACAGTTCTTCGAGCTCGACGCAAACGACGGCAAAGAGCAGGCCTTGATCAACACGCTCAAGAATCACTTTGATAAGAATGTGTTCCAATCACTCCTACTTGCTTGGATCACCGAGTCAAATGTTGCCTTTCGCGCCATCGAAGCCCCTCGATTCCGTTCTCTGCTCGACTATCTCAATCCTTCAATTGGCCTGACCCAGTCACACATGACTCACACGACCATTCGGTCCAGGCTTTTCGAAGAGTATCACCAATACAAGGGCGTTGTGGCGAAGGAATTGAAAGAGTGCCCGGCCGTATCCATCTTGCGTTTGACGGCTGGAGATCGCCCAATCGGCACGCTGTGTACGGGATTGCTGCGTTCTACCTGTCCAAGGAAAAGCGCCCACAAAAATACTTCGGAATGCCTGAGTTGCGGCAGTCCCATACTGAGAGAACATCGCTTCTCAGGTGGCAGAAGTCATCACCTCGTTCGAGATACAGGATAAGATTGGCTACTTCACGTTGGATAACGCGGAGAACAACGACACCGCGATGAGGGCCCTGGGTGACCAATTCAGTTTCGATGGGAGGCAAAGAAGGGTCCGCTGCTTTGGACATATTATCAACCTTGTAGCGAAAGCACTGCTCTTGGAAAAGACGACGAGGTCTTCGATTCAGAAGATCGTACCAATATTCTCGACCTGGCTCAGCACAACCTTTGGCGAAAAAGGTCCGATCGGCAACTCCACAATCTCGTCCATTGATTCATCGATCCGACAGGCTGACCTATCTACTACGGAGCCTGCAGGAGAAGAAGGATGGTACGAAAAGGCCGGTCGACGTTGTGACCGATAACATGACGCGCTGGCTGTCTCATTACAAAATGATGGATCGGGCTCTTCTCCTTCGCGAATTTCTCGACGACCTTGTCGCGATCGAACGGTTCGAGCACAGCAGAGGCAGGTCGAGAAGTAGAGCCAGGCCTGCGTGTATACGAGATGAGGATTTACTGACGGAGAACGATTGATGGTGATCAGCAATTTCGAGATGTCCTGAGACATTTTGCCAATGCTCTCAAGGCACTTGAAGGAGACGCGCAAGTCCGTGTCCGCAAAGACGGGAAGCTCATAGCCTATGGAACCGCATGGGATATCATCCAGGCGTTCGAATATCTTCTGGAGAAGCTTGAAGAAGCCAAAACGATGGCCAGAGACCTGCCGGATTCTGGCCACTTCGCAATCAACGTCGAATTAGTGACTATAAGTCGCTGAACGTCGAGGAGGAGGGTCCAGCCACTGCTGTGGAGAATTTCCAGCCACCCGACGATCTGGACGATTTCCAAAAGTTTCGAATGAGGCACAGGGTGCAATCGAGCCATATCACGAATGGTGATTACCGGCTGCCGACGCGCCCTATCGCCGACGAGTTGGATCGTTGGACCGTCGATATCGGGGCAGACGACGGGGAGATCAATGATCCATTTCAGTACTGGAAACTCAAAGAGGCGACATATCCGCGGCTGGCGCGGATGGCTTTCGATATGCTATCCGTCCCGCCCATGTCTGCCGAGTGCGAAAGGGCGTTTTCATTTGCTGGACTGATGGTTACCCGTCTGCGCAGGAGACTTGAGGTGAAGACCATCAGCGCCGCACAGTCCATCCGGTCTTGGCTGAACGCGGGATTAATACACAACTACCAGGGAGTCGTTGATCCATCGGTAGACGACAACGCCTTCGTGGAGGCCGCAGAGGATAATTCTGAGAAAGGGGAGGACGGGCCAGAGGACTTTGTCGTTATCTCCGAATAGCATATTGACAACCGTCAACGCCAGCAATCCACGCAATCCACGCAATTGAGATTCAGATTGCTCAACGCAATCGAGGATTTGATGATGTAAGCTGGCAATCCACGCAATCCCGTCACTCGGTTGCGTTGATTGCGTGGTTTGCCACCCTGGCAAGAAGTGCCCTCTTCCTGATAGAATGTATACTATACCTGAAAACGGGATATCAACTTGGGAGAAGCTTGGAGGGATATAAAAGGGGCTGTTTGGACGGGAAAGGAGGCAACCGAGGCAGAGAAAAAAGAACACAATATCTGATCGTACGACACTCGACCTTCAAAAGGTCCCTTTATCCACGTTTATGCCCACTTTTACTCTCTCCTTCGCGAGAACGTTGGCCCGTGGTATGTCTTGTAGGGGTTCCGAGTAAGAACCTGTCGTCTGCGGATCTGCTGATCCCTCATCTTCATTTTGATGCCCTCGGGCGGAGATGCATAAGTCAGGTGATTGCGGTCAAACGGCGCATCCAGCATCAGACCCTGCAGCGTCTTCACGCGTGAGACGGCCACGTAGCTTAAACCAGTCTGGAAGTCTCGGCAGGACAGATCTGTAACGACCATGTCCTCGGTGATGCTTTGTGACTTGTGCACGGTAATTGCGTAGCATACGATCAGAGGAAACTGGGTGCGAGTGCAGAGTGGCTCCGATGAGGAAGTCCCTCTCCACTGGGAGAATCGGCACAATCTTCCTGCCATCAGGGGTGGTCAGGAATACCGGTCCGCTGTATTTGTCAAACTCCATCATGATAACGCAGGGAGGGTCTTGGATGGGGTCGACCCCAGGTGCCCAGCCGATATCGTAAACTGTGCCACGAGCGCCGTTGCAGAGGCCAACTGGCTGCCAAAGGTTGGACGTCAGCATCAGACGGGAGCCAATGCATATGGGGATCTGCTTCGCAAGGTTGCCCGCCTTGTCATCAGGCGCTGCCGCGGCGCCAGGGCCTACGTTTTTGGCCATTACCTGGATGACAGGCCGGCCGAGGCGGTCGAGGTGGTAGTGGTTGAACTCGTTGACCCTGTCTTTCGTGGCGTACACCCGTAAGGCGTTGTCGAACTTGGCAACCTCCCGATCGTCTAGCTTCGCCTGTACACGACTGGAGAGGAGCTTCCAGGACTCCCTGGATCGTTGGTGCAGTCGCAATTCCCCGAGGGCCGTGCGAAATGCCTCCTGGTCGTCACCACGCTGACGCTGGACAACATTTAAGAAGACCGTCTTGTCGAAGCGCCGATATGCGTTCCGGCCCTTGATCTCTACTCCCTGCACTTCCTTGTCGTAATAAAGCGGCTTCTGCAGCACTGGGGGAAGTTGAAAGAAGTCGCCAACCAACAGGATATTCAGGCCGCCAAAGAATTCCTCATTCCGATTCGGGAACGCCTCGCGGAGACGGTCATCGATCCATGATAGTTGACGCAGTCCTAGCATGCTCTTCTCATCAATGATCAGGTACTTGACATCCTTCAGCTTCTTCTGGAGCTGAGCCTTGTCAATCGCTAACAGGGGCTTGAAGTCTTTGTTGATTGGGAGATGCAACAGGGAGTGCAAGGTAGTGCCCGAAATCTGATTTCCCGCAACGCCTGTGGAGCGGCACGCCAAACAGGCGTTCTCCGCCTGCGGCGGCTTCGAGGTGGGCGGAGAGTATGTTAATGAGGTATGACTTGCCGGTGCCGCCTCCGCCATCTGCGTGAGCAGCAGCTGGGAAGCGTGCTGGGTCAGAAAGTGGTCCATGACCGTGTCGTACACTAGACGCTGCTCCGGATTTAGGGAATCGCGAGCATCCAAGGGTTGATCATCCACCTCAAGGGACATGGGGTTCTCCGCTTTGCGCTGCTTCCAGTAGTCGCCGGTCAGAATGCCACTGTCGGTATACCGTCCAACGTGGGGAGTCCAATCATAATTCACATCGAGATCTCGGCGGCCGAGTATGTCGATGTCCTCTTCCCCCAGCGGATGATCCGGCAGCATGCGGGCGAGTTCATGCCAATCTTCTTCCACAACGGGATCCACATGCTCCTCCAGCTCAAACTGATCGTCCTCTGCCCTCAGTTCCTTTGCTCCTGGCTCTCCGTAATGGTCGTCCTCATGGGAATGGTGCTGCTGTCGGCAGTATTGGTACGCGGCCGCGAAAGATTCGAACCGCTGCCCGCCCACAGTGAGCAACTCCTCTGGGTAGCGATGCGGATGGACCATCATCAACTTGACACGGCAGAAGTCATTAAACTGGGGAGAAGCCTCCGGCCGGTACCGAGGGAAGTAAGACAGGACCCTCTTCTTCGCGTTCGCACAGAGTATCCTCCACGTCTTGAGACCCCTGGGCCCCAGAGGTGCTGGCCCCAGGGAGGACTCTCGACTGCAGCGTCACGCTCGCGGATGCGGCATGCGCCTGCACCTCTACGGGCAACACCTCCCCGGGGATCGCCTTCTCTCGGGCCGACTGCACCGTTTGCCGAAGACTGTCTTCCACCGGAACTTGACTACGACTCTCGCGATGACCTCCTCATTTCGATCAACGCTTGGGCTGCGACGCGGGGCTATGCCTTCACAACGGGAAAGTCCACCAGAGCCAAGGGTGGCAGACAGACAGTGACCTTCGCGTGCGACCGGTCTTGTCGACCCCAAATCCGTCGATAGAACGTCAGCGAAAGACAACAACCCGAGGGACGGGCTGTGAGTTTTCGATTTTGGCCAAAGAATCAGCCGACAGGCAATCTTGGGCTGTGCGACACCGCCCAGACAAACGATTTTCCCTGCATAATCACGCGCCCAGTCGCCACCCTTCTGCTCATCCTGCTCATCGTAGGTTGACGGAGAAAGATATTGAAAAGTTATCGCGCCTTTCTAATGCCGGCATTGTCCCAAAAGATATTCGGACCTATATACGACAGAACTGCGATTCTCTTGCCACACAACAAGACATTTACAATGGAATTGCAGCTACCAAGAGAGATGTATGCGAAGGGCAAAGTTCAATTCACGCTTTGGCCAGTCAGCTCGACCAGGAGGGGTTTTGGAGTCGGATCCACCCGCCAAGACGGCCGAGTGACCGCAGTCCTGTTCGCTCATCCAGAGTCCTTGACGTATCTCCAGGCATACCCAGATGTCTTGTTGCTAGATTGCACGTACAAGACGAACAAACACGGCATGCCGCTCCTCGACATGATAGGAGTAGATGCTTGTCAGCGATCATTTTGCATAGCATTTGCATTCCTTGGTGGGGAGACCGAAGCTGACTTCGTGTGGGCGTTGGATCGCCTGAGGTCACTGTACGAACACCATAGCGCCCGCTTACCCTCTGTCGTCCTAACAGACCGCTGCATCGCCTGTATGAACGCCGTTGCCATTTCCTTTCCCACTTCTTGCTCACTACTCTGTCTGTGGCATGCCAACAAGGCCGTCCTCCGCTATTGCCGGCCAGCCTTCGTCCGCCAGGACCAACCGGAGTCCACAAACGCAGAGACAATTGATACGTCAGAGAGCAACGGCTGGTCTGAGTTCTACCAATTCTGGCACTCGATCATGGCTGCACCAAACGAAGAAGCATTCAAGGACCGAGCTACGCAATTCGAGAAGAAGTACCTACCCAACCACCTCAAACAAGTTGGATACATCAAAACTTTCTGGCTTGAAGGGTATAAGGAAAAGCTTGTTAAGGCTTGGGTTGATCAACATGCTCATTTTGGAAATACAGTCACGTCGCGCGTGGAGGGCATACATGCATTGTTGAAGGCCCATCTCAAAAAGTCCACGCTAAATCTTTTCGAGGCTTGGAGGGCGATGAAGCACGCGTTACTCAATCAACTGTCAGACTTGAGATCGAATCAAGCCCGACAGCAGATTCGGGTCCCAATTGAGCTCTCTGGGCCCTTATACGCTTCAGTGCGCGGTTGGGTCTCCCATGAAGCGCTGAGAAAGGTGGAGGAGCAGCGGAAGATGCTTGGTAGGAGAGATCCTCCCCCACCGCCAACTTGCACGGGGGCTTTCACCAAGTCCCACGGGCTGCCTTGCCTTCACACTCTAAAATCTTTGCAAGAGCAAGGACAAGTACTCTTACTTGAGCACTTCCATACGCACTGGCACCTGCAGCGGGATGGAACTCCCGGCCGCTGCTAGAGCCGCGCCAGCGAATCGAGTCGACCTTAGCAAGTTCGGCTATTCCCAAGCAGAGCACTCGGAGAGAACCCAGTGCATTTGAGAGTATCGAGGAGGCTCGTAAAGCGCCACCCACATGCAGCAGGTGCCATACGGTTGGTCATAGGATGACCGCGAAAGCCTGCCCGCTGCGCTTTGGAGAGCTGCTTCAAGAGACTACGTCGTCGATGCATTCACGATCGGTGTCACCATCGGAGATCGTACCGTCATCCCAGTACGTGCAAGCCGCTTTGGACGCACAGGAGCCAGAGCTTGCAACTGAGCCGCCAACTGATGCGTCCCTGGCGACGGATTTGGGGAGTGTCGCAGGAACCCTTACAATTCTGCCCACTACAGCTCCAGACCATCCTCCTGCCCAGTCGGGTCAGTCCTTTCACGCCGAAATAGGTTCAGTTGCCACGACCTTCCCGGTGACCAAGATTCCGGGCCCGTACCGGGTCCGCCCCGCGATGCCACTGAGCTGCTGGTATCGCCACCACCTATCTCACCTGACTTGCCAGCCCCACCGCCGCCGAAATATGATTCACCAGAAGCTATACACAAAAGTTATACCGCTGCAAGAAGCGCATGGTATGCAGCGCAGCCGGCCGGCAGCATCAAGACAAACCAACAATACCGCAAGGCAATGAGGCTTCCAGCTAGGTATGACAAGCAAAGCTATGAATGGTGTATGGACTACAAACAAATGTCCAGGCATTGCGCCACTACAACGGGGTTGAGAGCATGGACGAAAGAAGAAATGATGGCATACCTTGACTGGAGCCATGCAGAAGATCAGCGTGTTGAAGCCCAGATCATGAAGGAGATGGGAGACAATCCGTTAGCCAACACACGGAGGGGCGTGGCCGACATTTGGCGACAGGTAGAAAAGGACAGCCGAGAGCAGGAAACGCTGTATTCTGCACATGTTGAGGCAGATGATTGTATTTTCGTCGAGCCGTAGTTGGCTCTACTGATATTAGCAGCTCTTTAGTTCTAGTAGACAGTAGACTCACACATACGACGAGCACAGTGCCGACAGACTACCCGCATCATGGCTTTACGCAGACAACGGACTGTGATTAGTCATTTTCGCGGTGCCCGCGAAATATTAGATTCGCGGGTACCGTGAGCCTATTGGCTCCCGCGCGGATGGGGAAGATGACGAAGACCTGAAACGGGTGGAAGCCCCTGAGAGGGATCTTGTCCGGGATCCCGGGAGTGATATAGGTAGAAAGCTGGAGGAAGCCGCAGCACCTCAGCTGGGCGGCGTCTAGACCTGGCAGAAGGTCCTGTCGTAGCAAGGAGTGGCCGGAGCCAACGATGAGGCCGGTGAAGGAAACGATGGGCGAGATACGGGGGAAGCTGTCCATGGAGGCAAAGAGCCTGGGAAGAACGCTGGAGGCCCATTTCAGCCAAATTTGGTGCTCGAAGTGTGCGCGGAGGAATGAGAACCGCCTCTCCACCCGTCTAAACGTCTCAAAAGGTAATCAGGCGGTTCCCGCTGACCATGTCCCCGATCTTGCGCTGTACCGTCTCGAAACGCATGCACCCGCAGGCCTCGCTCTCCAGGTGGTTGATGACGGCGGCTAGGCTCCTAAAGTCCATTGCGCACATGTAATTGGGGCTGTGGTACAGTGCCTGCTGGTCTGCGTGCGGACAGGCATCAGCAGACGGCGCGCCTCGGGGTCGGGGGAAAGACTTACGTCTCGGCGAGTTGAGGTGCTGATTGAGGCCGGCCAGCAGGCGGAACGCGCGATGGCAGAGGTAGCACTCGTAAGCAGCGCCGTTCCACGCCCGGTTGGAGGCCACATATTCGGCGGAGCCGGTCCAGCCGATGAGGTTTTTGGAGATGAGTCCGCACGGATCCTTACCCCGGACGAAGCGATACATGGCGTCGCGGTTCAGGTCCCGCGCGTCGGAGCAGGCCCCGGCCTCGAGGTGATGGGTCAATCCGGCGGCGGTGGCGAAGTCGATTTTTGCAGAAGGGGCACTCGATCTGCTGGCCTCTGTGGGCGCGCGACCGGAGGTGCTGTCACCGCCGCAGTCAGCTTCCGCCTCGCCGGAGAGTGGCGCCGGCTTGCGTACCATGGTTAGGTTGTTAAAGTTTTGAAAGGTTCGGTTGCACTCGGCGCAGTAGTTGTGGTCCTGGTGCTCGTGCTCGGTGCATCGCTCCTCGGTCGGCCACGTGTCGTAGCAGCACGCGCACTCGTACCGCTCGACGGTCTGCCAGTGACCCGTATCTCTCATGTGCTGGTTGCAAGCCTGCTGGCTGCCGAACCACCGTGGGCACACATCACACTCGAACGACCGTCGTGAGTGTCCGGTCGAGTTGCAGTGGTTGTCACGGGCCCTCCAGCCCGCCGGGAAGGTCTTGCCGCAGGTGTCGCACTCGAAGTCGAAGGCCATCGTGAGTTAACGAGCCGGTCGGGCTCAATTGACGCCAAGTTAATAGGAGCAAGACGTCGCGCCCGAGACTTGCAAGTTCCGCCTACGTCAACCAGCTCTCAAGGTTAGCGATTATGGCTGTAGCGATAACCGTTTTTTAACGATAGCATCAGTACACGCCTAGTTTAGGGAAACAGCCAATGAACACCTTAGGACCTCTCCATATAGCCGGGGCCCTAATGACAAATCTATATAAATATCCATAATACCGCAATAGGGAAGCAATCTCATCGGTCGTAGTGCACTCTTCTAGATCGTTGTGGAAACCTCCCTGATGTGACGCCAATACGTGACACCTGGTTATTCGAATGACACGTCGTTTCTGGCGCTGCCATCTAGCCTTCATATTCTAGTGCTCACCCGCACTAGCATGTACACACGTAAACCCAATCGCTGCCAGCAGCGTCACGGCAGTGATGCTCCCGAGCAAGCTTCACGCAAGCCCGTCTCAGCCTCGTGCGGGACAACTCGTTCAGGGCCGAGCAGCGTCACCAGCACGACAAGGCGCACGCGCTGTGGAAGAGGTTCACGATCGTCGCCATGCTGGACGAGCAAATTTATAGATAGTCTTCTCGGCATGCTCCAAGATTTAACATATGTTTAGACCCCAACAGCATTCAGACCTCCTGTCCAAGCTCGTAAGCTTGGCGACGAAAACACGGCAAGTAGGCGCGAAGCAAGTTTCCTTGTCGACGGATGACGCTAAGTCATCGCTTCCGGCAATTGGTCAGGTTCTTATCGCCCCCCCGCCGAGATACGGCTGATTTTCTCGACTCTTTCTTTTCCAGACACCCCCTCTCTCGTCACTGCATTTCCCAAGATGGACGACGTCGACTTTGACTCGGGCGAGGAGCTCTTTGACAACATCGACAACCAGGACCTGCTCCCGTCACAGAAGCGCAGGCGCCACGACCAAGATGGACACGACGACACTGCCTCTGGCGCCACGAAACGCCAGAGACGCGATGCGTCGCACGCCGCCCTCGCCCGTCGGATCCTGACCGACAAGTTCGGCTACCACAGCTTCAATCACCAGCAGGAGGCTGTCATCGGCCGCGTCCTGGCTGGCGAAAACACGCTCGTTATTTTCCCCACGGGCGCTGGCAAGTCCCTTTGCTATCAGGTAACGAGTCGTTCACGCTCCCACCTCATCGTTACTGCCGTCCCTCCGAGTCCTAACCAAAGTCCCCGCAAGATTCCAGCCATTGCCTTCGAGGAGCTCGACACGACTGACGGCTCCAGGGCCCCCGGCCAGTCCGGAATCAGCATTGTCGTGTCGCCATTAATCGCTCTCATGAAGGATCAAGTCGATGCCTTGCAGAGCCGCGGCATTCCTGTAGCGTCCATGAACTCCACAAAAACTTATGAGCAGCAGCAACTCACCCGCGTCGCCTTGCAAAAGGGACAAATTCGCCTTCTGTATTGCGCCCCCGAGAGACTCAACAACGAGTCCTTCATCGAGAATATGAAAACTGTCCCCGGAGGCGTTCGACTCGTCGCTGTCGACGAGGCCCACTGCATCTCTGAGGTTTGAATCCTCCCTCTCTAGGTCCGTGCAGCTCGATTCAGCTAACTTTCCCATGCGACAGTGGGGCCATTCATTCCGCCCTGAATATCTCAAAGGTGTGAAAGTCTTTCGTTCAGCCCTTCCGTCTCAATGCTAACCAGTGCCCTTCAGTCGCTCGGTTCGCTCAAGAGATCAACGCCGAGCGAGTCGTCTGCCTGACTGCCACCGCCACCCCCAAGGTTGCCGACGACGTTTGCAAGGCATTCAAGGTCGACAGCTCGTGTGTTTTCCGCACATCTCCATACAGGCCCAAGTTCGCTCCGCCCTCACAACAGCCGACTACACAATGTCACGACTAACGCCATCACAGTCTCCATCTCTACGCGGAATCTGTCCAACAAAAGCAAGACAAGTTTGAAAAAACCTTTGCGTTTCTGAAGTCCCAGCCTGGTCCAACTCTCATATACGTCACCTTGCAAGCGGTCTGTTGCTGCATCCTTTCCTTCCGCCAGTGGTCCTGAACCAAGCTGACAAGTCGTAGCAAGCAGAGTCGCTCGCCAAGGATCTCACGCATCAAGGCTTCCATGCTGAGGCATTTCATGCGGGCATGAAAGCCGAAGTAAAGCTGCAGATCCAGGATGACTTTATGGCATCCAAGATTCCGATTGTAGGTAAATGAGATTAACGGGACATGACAGGCGCCAACACATCATCGATTGCAGGTTTGTGCAACTATCGCGTTCGGTATGGGCATCGACAAGCAAGGTATGCCGACCTCCCAACCCCTCTGGGCATACTCTGACCACGTCAGATATCCGAAACATTATTCATTGGGACATTCCCGCCACTGTCGAAGAATACACCCAGCAAATCGGTCGCGCCGGTCGAGACGGCAAGGCGAGCCACTGCATGCTCTACATCTGCCACGAAGACTTCTATATTCGGGAGAACTTTGCACGTGGAGACCTTCCGTCACGGACGTCTCTAAAGGCCCTGCTTGAAGACATCTTTGACGAGGACGCCGTCTTGTTACCGGTTGACGGGGTAATACATACGAACCACAATGCTCAATCCAAGGACTTTGACATACGGCTCTCGCCGCTGAGCATCATATATGCGTCGCTGGAACTCCGCTTTGGGCTCATCCGGGCCATCACACCCCAGTTCACACAGTACTCCTTCGAGGCAACATCCAAGTACTACCCATCATTAAAAGCGGACAAGTCCGAGGAGGGAAAGGCTATCTTTTCCAATGCCCGCAAGGCGGCGAAATACCATCACATTGACGTCTCAGGTGTCGCGAGAGCAACGGGCCTTCTGCGTGCAGATCTTGTCAGGAAACTCAACCAGCTGGAAGAACGGGAGTGCATCAGACTTAAGGCCAGCGGGATCGAGCATCGGTATCGCATCCTCCGGTCTCTTCCATCAACAGATGGCGCAATCGTTAAACTGGTGGACGAACTGTACGCCGACCTTGAGTTTCGGGAGGAAGAGGTCATGCGTCGGGTTCAGCAAATGGCTGATCTGATAACCGGGACCAAATGCTTCGCATTAGCCCTCGCCGAACACTTTGGGATGAAGCTTCCAGATGGAAAAAGGAATTGTGGACATTGCACCTTCTGCCTCCTGGGATGGCCGGTCGTCTTGCCACCCAAGCCCCCTAAAGCAGTCGACAGGGCGGGAATGGAGCGAATCCTTCAGGCTTGTGATGTCCGAGACGATCCGAGGTTCTTGGCTCGTGTTGCGTTTGGCATCAAAAGCCCCAGAGTCACACAGTTGAAGTTGGACAGGTCGCCGGTGTTTAGATCCTTGGCCGACCACGACTTCAAGGTGAGCAACTCTTGCATGCGCGAATACGGGGCCTCGAAGCTGACAGTCATGCAGACACTGCTGAAGGAGTTTACCGCCGCGTGCGAGGAGGCTGGCGCGGACTCGAGGCGTTGAATTGGCGGCGTATATGTATGTGTCGGTGGACTGGGGCAGCCCGATAGGGAGGGACTTGGAGAAGGGATTCCTGGCCTATGTAGCAGGAACGCATGAGAACTTCCTGAGTAAGGAAGGCTACTCGGGGGGTTGAGTACCCCTTTATGCGTGGGTAGAGCACCTTACTCAGGAGGTCCCCAGAAGTCCCTAAGACCTCGTGTATAATTAGCCCCTTCAGGCTGCCCCCCTTAAGAAATAGAACATGCATCTTGAACCTAGCTGTGTGACCTCCTTATTCCGATGTTTATTGACATCACATTTCACCAACAGTATGGCATGCTCCTGTGGCAGCTTGTCAGAACAACGGGAGCATGGATCACGTGCGATAGGGAGATAAGAAGATGACTCATCGCAAGAGAGCCCGAGACACCCCAAAAAGGGGCACCGCGCGCGCCCCTGAGTGCTGTTACGGCCAGGCACATACGAGCCTTGACGGCTATAAAGATGTATTGGCACTATGAACAAAGACTCAAAGCTAAGGAGCAAGAAAGGAAGACTAGACTACACGACCGAGCGGGCCCTTATATAGACACGAGGTCGCGCGTGGGCACGTGATGCTGCTTGGGCACGTGACACTGGTGAGGTTCTGCGCTGGCGGCTCTACGCTGGCGCCCAGGGTCGTGACAAGTGCGACACACACACGCAATACACACATCTCGGCGGGCCACATAGGCCTGCCTTCCCTAATTCGATTGATCCACTGGATCACAGCCGTATCTTTCCTATTCTGGGATCACCTAGAACCTCTGGTTCTGACACAGCTTTTATCTCTGGACCAGCCTCTTGATCGCTCAGGGCGGCGGTGAGCCAACAACTGTTCTCGGGCACCTGCGTTCATTTCGTGTCACGCTTGGCGACGCGTACGACCCTGCACCTAAGCAGGATTCGCTTCTCACGTCATCGTCATATACGACAACTCCGATAAAAATAATAGCCGGCCAAATTCTTGCTACACGCCGCTATAGGCTTTTAAACTCGTCCGAATCTTTTCGATGACTGCGCAGCTTATGACAGTTCTTCATGGCGCTGACCTTGCGCAGGTTAGCGGTGTCACAGGTCCCGGGGCCGGCCGACCGGTCATCCGGTAATCGGATTACCGCCCCGCCCCACGCAAAACCATGTCGTTTTCGAAGGCCCGGCCCTGCGGGGCTGGCGTTTTCTTAGTCGGATTACCGCCATCGGACGGCAAAATCGAAGGTCCACGCCCGCGGGGCCCTGCGCGAGACCTTCGATTTCGGTCTCGCTCACGCGCGTTGCGCTCCACCTCCTCCTCCCACCTCCTCCTCCACCTCCTCCATTGCCACCGTCGCGACGGCGACCGCCTGCACCATGTCGAACGCGATAGAGGATCCCCGGGTCAGGGCGGCCATTGAGCACTACCTGTTAGATCTGGAGAACACCCAGCCGAAGAATACGAAGCGAAATTATCGTCCCAAGCAGGAAGAATGGAAGGCAAGCCCGCATGCGCGCCCTGCAATCTTCATGTAGATCCATGCATTGACTGCCTCACAGGAGTGGTGTCAAGCCAACTGGCCTGCGATCCCGGACGTTTGGCCGGCCTCGGTACCACAGGGCCAACAGCTACCCGGAGACCTGGTCGATGAAGGAAAGCTCTTGCTCTTCATGAAGGAGGTAGTGGCATCACGTCCTCCCAAGAAAGGAAAGAGGGTCGCCGATGAAAGAAAACGACACCTCGAGGCTCGGGAAGCCAAGAGGGCCGTGAAAAGACGCAGAGCACCATCAGGTAACAGATGTTGATCACGGGATGTGGTCGTCGGACTGAGCCAGCCCATCATACTAACACCCAGCTTCCCCCAGCAGATACCATCGTTGTAGGCGGCGGAGGTAGCGAATACGAGTCAGACTCCGACTTGGAGTTGTATGAGTCCACGCTCAAACTACAGTATAATACTGTACGGGGCTACGTCTCGGCCATACAGAAGCTTTACGACGAGCAGAAGAGCCGGGAGTCAATCCTGCGGCCCGGCCACAGGGAGTGGCACTGAAGGCGCTCAAACGCAGCATTCTTGCAACGACTTGGAGCCGGAAGAGGAAGGAATACATGGACAGGGAGTTGGAACTCTGAGAGATGTGTATGCGCCGGCGCAGATACCCGACCACACCAACGTGGCATGGTCCGAGAGAAAGAGATCGCCTGCGCCCTGAGGACGCAGGTGGACTTTCTGCTCGGGAACCACATGCTGCTGCGGTCCGGCAACCGCCTGCCGATGGAGTTGGCAGACTGCTTTCCCTGGACTTACCCAACGAGGGCTTCAAGGCCCAGGGGTATACCACGAAGGCGCTGGTTGTCGTGATGAACTGTGGGAAGACCAACCAGCACGGCCGCATGGAGTATGGATCTGCTCTGCGGCATCGAGATCCCAGGTCTTGTCTCATCGGCGCCCTCGCGTTCTGGCTTTTCTGGCGCTGGCAGGTAGAAAAGGCGGAAAGGTTTCCCGTCTTCCAAAGAAGCGAAGACTGGTATGAAACGAAGGTGCTCCGCCGATCGGCGAAGGAGCCTCAAGGTAAGCGTGATGGCATTCACCGGAATCCCATAACTCAGAGGGTGCATCGACCCTTTCACTCACCGAATATACAGCTCCGTTGTCGGGGCAGACTGCCCGAGAATGGACGTCCAGGTTCTACAAGAAGGCCGGCATCAAGGTCTCCAAGGTCAGCCTTGCGCCTAGAGTGGCCGCGACGCAAAACGCCGACATGGCCGGAGTGGATGAAGGCCAGGCATGTCATCTGCCCTAGGCAAGCCGCCAACCCCCTGGCCTGGGCTGACCCGAACTATACAGATCCGCCGAGCCGGTCGTTGGAATAACGGAGACCAAATGACCGGCTGCTATCTGACTTCCTGCCTTTCGAATTCATGAGGGCCGTGGCCGACTTTGACCCTGAATGGTCGGGGTCTTATTTCGTGCCCGGGCCACCGTAAGGCCGCCTGTGGTGCTACTCGTGCAGGTCTGGCCTCAACTCGACAAATGGAAAGAGGCCCACAGTAGCCCTTTCTCAGATCTCGGGTGGAGCAGAACATGGCCGCCGGCGCCTTCTTGGAACTCCTGGAGTGGCTTCGAGAGGTGCTCCTGCAGGACGCTGTCTTCCTTCGCGAGTCCTACCCCGACCATCCTATCTTCCAGGATCCGGTCTTCTCTTGCCCCGAGTTTGAAGCGTTCGTCAGCAAAGTTCAAGACACATGCACACGGGACCACGAAGACAGCCATACCACGGTCATTCAAAAGCGATGCCGGTGGTTGCGGAGAAGCTGCGCACAGTACTGACTCAACAGGTCGCAGCCGAGCAGTTAGCTGAGCGAAGACATCTAGACCTTTGGGGCTTCTTACGAACTATGCACAAAGTTGGATGAGTTTGCGCAGGCGACCTACACCGTCACCTTCAGCCCCGGCCAAGGTGCTGCAGGTCAACATGCGGAGATCGCGGGAGCTCATCAACAGAGGCGCCGCGCTCCACGAGAGACGGTCCTCAGGTCCGAGATAGGCCCTTCGCAAGCGGGCGGTCCGACATACGCTCCGCTCTCTAGAGCAGCAGCAGGGAATGGTGCAAGCGGGCCAGGGCAAGCCCCAGGGAAGAGCGCATGGCGAGCCGCCTGGGCCGCGCGAACCTCCGAGCTTCAAGCTCCCCGTTCTGTCAAATCTGTACAGGAGCTGCTGCGTCTCTGGCGGCAGGGCTGGGGCGAAATGCCTTCTGTGGATTCTCTTGAGCGAGACTGGGGTGCTCGATGGCGGCCATCTGCAGAGAAGAATTACTTTTCCACGCGCAAGATCATCGTCGATGAGGTTCGGAGGCGGGACCAGTCGGACGGCTTAACTGAAGATATCGTGGCGAGGCAAATGGACGAAGAACGTGGACCCAGCTCTTTGGATAAGTTGTTCAAGGCCATCCGAAAGGACAGGCAAGGCGAAAAAGGGACACAAACGTGCGTCGGGGCAATTCAACGTCGGTGGTAGCGAAAAGTCGATGGCGCAGTGATTTTGAACACCCGTCTGATAGAATGACGAGGACCTTGGCGGCGAAAGTGCCCCCAGGCCGTCAGGGGCTGCGTCGCTACAGTCAGCGGTAGTGGCCTGTAGACAGGGTATGCATCCGCTAAGCGCCGCTGTAGCTCCAGCGCGTCAAGGCTAGAAAATGCTTCAAATCACCGCAACCTCGCAACCGACAGGATGTAGGACCTTAGACAGGGTGCATTCTGATCGCACAAACGCAGGCTATCCAGTCGAACTGGTTTTCTCGTCGTCGGTCCCGCCTTTCGCGCTTTATGGCGCTCCGAAGATGACATCAACCCGGCAGAGGTGATGTCAAGGGCAAGCGGGTAATCGGCGGTAATCTGCGGGGTAATCCGCTGACCGCCCACCAAAGCCGGACCTGTGACATCCACTTGATGTCGCCGTGATCAGCAGGCGATTCGAAAGGCTCCTCCTACTGAACAACTCGACGAATGCCTCGATGATTCGCGACTTGCCAGTCCTGCCCTCGCCACCGACGAACTGGCAGAGTTGGCCGACTTCGCCTCCGTCGTTTTGTCGCATCAAATCGAGCTGGCAGCATATGATTGGGAAAGCGATCGACTGCGTTTTGTTCAGCGTCGGCCGTGTTGCCAACTCTCTGCCCGCCAAGCCTGCATTCCCGCCTCTACGTCGTCTGCGGTCTCGTCGAAGTCGGCCAACGCCATTTCGACATCGACCTCCTCGAAGCCAGCTAAGCCGACCATGACCCTCCGCAACGCAGCACGGCAGTCGCTTTCTCGGACCACGGTTATACTTTGTATGCCTTGGATCATCCTCTCTCTCTTTCGAGGCACTCATCTGCTGCGACTTGGTGGCCCTGACCTGATCCTACGGTGGCAGTGCGACCCCGGAAAATACCCGCCCCTACATGCTTATCCGTCTCGCCCTTGTTCGGGTACTGTACCACGGCGGCCTGCAGCTCGGCCGTCGAGGAAAGCGCTGATCGATGGAACCGATAGAGCTGTTGCATCATCGCCATTGCTCCGGCGACTTGGCCGTCACCTGATTCGAGTCCAGTGCACCTCGGACGACGTCGATCAGCTGCGTTGCGTTTCCGATGCTGTTTGGACTGATACGTCGCTGTTGATTCTGCGCCCGCCTCGTCCGTCCCGCCCTTCCACGTGTGCGACCGTCGGATAGGCATCTCCGGATGAGGATGCCCATTGCTTAGCGTCGCGTTTTGCGTCTTCGGCTGATCGTCGAACCAGCCGCACGATATCGGCACGATGTCGTCGAGACATGATATTCTCGGAGCCAGCGCCTCTCGCGCCCGCGCCCAGATGCTGTTGATGTCGCCCATTTCTTCGCACATGAAAGACTCCCATGGTACAAATAGCACAAAGTGCTACACGGTTGCCCTTTCAAAGGTGGCAAAAAATTAGCGTCTCCCATATCCTCCGGCGAATCGGTTTCCGCGCAAACCTCCGATGACACGAGTCCTCGTCGTGGGCAAAGTCTTGCTCAGGTAGCCGTCAAGGCAAACGGTGGCCTGCTTTCCCGGCCGCCTGAGCACCTGAACCCAGCGTCTTCCTGGTGCCCGCCCATCATCGAAAGGCACCTCCCCCCTAGCCCCACAGCTCCCGTCGTTGCTGTTGCGTTTGAGTCTGACCAGCGATACGTAGTCGTACAGGCATAGGCCTCGCAGGAGATCTCCACGGTGCTGATATGCCTCGACGCGGGAGATCCTGGGGCCTGCTTCTTCGACGACGACCGATTCATCCAGGGGATCATCTGTGACCCATGCGCTACTTGTCGCAGATGCCGCAATCGTCGAAAGACGTGCCAGTACAGCTAGTACCGGTATGTGTTTAGGTACGCCTAGGCGCTGCCATTGGAAAATTCGGCTGGATATCCTAGAAGATGAGCGACGACCTCGACCTGCGACAGGGGACGCTCCGTGAACATACGGTTCGTCACCCTCATCAAGAACTGTATGGTCCGATCCGTGCTCCATGGGGTGTATATTGCATGTCACCATCTCGTCTGCCGGTTCGGTTCGGCCGACGCAAGCACTAGATCAATCGTGCTTTCCGAGTCTTGGCCCTGCCACGTCTTGGTGCCTCGCGGCAGGCTGCAGAGCCCACAGTCATTCATCAGGTCGATGATCGGCTGCGCTTCCTTGTCTTCTTGTTGCTACCTCATCGCCTCCCCAGAGCAGATCGTGGCGATTAAAGTCCCCCGCGACGACGTCCAGTTCCACCACGGAAGCCCACCACTAATCCATGCAGTTCTCTTACCGCTCTCGATAGCACCTCGCTCTTCTACTCTACGTATACCGACACTACCATCAGATCTCGGTCCGGTAGCCGAAGGATTACCGCCGTCAAATCCGCTGACTGCGTTACCGCTTGCTCCGCCTCGAGGTCACTCCGCACCCAGAGCATGCTCCGGATCGGCCAGCCGGTCTCGTGTATCGTCGTCAGTATCATTGTCACCCAACTGCTGTGGCTTATTGAGCTCGTAATTACCCTGTCGTTTATCCTCCTTGCGTACGGAATCCTGCGCGGCACCATGAACGGCAGTATGAGCGACAGTATGAGCGACTCTACCGCCGGTGACGGCATCTTGTGCTCGATGTCGGACCAAAAGGGGATAAATATCATCAGTAAAGATATCGACGGCGGTATAGTGCTGGAGATCTTAACATTAGATCTCAACTACCGTGGCTTCAAGGTCACGCGTCATTTTCACTGGGTCTAACCAGACAGAGAAATATGGTTTTGGATGCTATACGCCAAGCTAGACCTACGAGGAGCACGAGCCGACAACTCCACAGGCTAAAAATCTCGAAGCTAGTAGCCTCGAGAAGACTTTGAGAAAGATATCTAGAGTGTTTGAGCGCAAGGAGCAGAGTTGGTGTTGAAGGATCAGAGATTTCAGGCCTCGGCGGCTACGCTGCATCGCATGAGGCCAAGGAAGGAAAGAATGATCCCCAATCCTAATAATATGTTCATAAACCTCCGATATATATTAGGGAATGTCTATATGCTTCCACAGGGCGATGAAGAGGTGCTATATGCGATTGAAGGTGCATTTGGTCAGGTTGAAGAGGAGGAGGGGAAGGGGAGGGTAAAGCCACCTGATTCGTCGCCTTCTTACACATGGGCGGAGACAGACCAGAAACCCAACAGTCCACGGCAATTAAACATTGAAAGCACTACAGAGTAGTATTTCTTTTATAATTTATTATGGGCTAATAGCTTCAATTCAATTGATATAGTTTGTATGGTCAAGGCACCTTTTTGCGGTACCGGTGAAGGGGGTGTAACAGGCGATGGGTGGGGCATGGTAGGCCCGGTCGCCCTCGCTAAGCAGGCGCCGAGGGTGGGTCCGAGTACTCTTCGGCTACGCGAAGAATATATATCGAGCACGAATCTGTCATTGGGAAGATGCCACGTGATCACGGCGTAACAGTCACATCCACAGTCGACGAGAGTGCGTATTCAGTAGCCTCTGTTGACGGGTCGACCGTTCATTGGTGGCTTGAACGCTTCCTAGTCGACCGTGCCGGTCACAGCCCGTGACAGATGGCCAGCTGTTGGAACGGCGCAGCAGGAAGGGCGGCATGGGTCACCTGCCAGGTCACGTGGGGGGGCCACCCTAGTCGCACGGCCTCTCGGCGATTGTCGCACGGCCTCTTTGGCCGGATTAGGCAGTTGCGACACGAGAGACTTAGGGCCTAGGCAATTTTATTAGCAAATTGATGTACCTCTTGTACCGATGGTTGCCGCACCGTTAAACGCGTAAGACTCGTGGTAGTAACGCGTAAAAACGCAGTCTGTCAACGCAGTCTATCAACGCCGTCAACGCCGTCAACGCCGATATCACCAAAGCCGCATTCACCGCCTTATTTGAAGCCTTTACAATGGACTCAATGACACTGCCTACCGAGATGGCTGCGCCCTTCGATTTAGGGCCATTCGAGACCGCGGATGCCGCAATTGAAGCTATTCAGGCCCTCGCGAGAGACGAAGGCTACGCTGTAGTCAAAGTCAGATCCTCCAATAAGCGTATGGGTATTCCTCACCGCTGGGACCTCGCTTGCGCCCGTGGACCTATCCATCATGTGTCTATTGCAGCAAGGCTCCGCGAGTCAGGCACGAGGAAAGCCGGCTGCCCGTTCAAGGTCAAGATAGTGCAAATGACTACACTTGACGACCTGTGGCATATAACGGTGATGTGCCCAGAGCACAACCACGGTCCCGAGGATCCAATCGCCTTCCCAGAACACCGCAAACTCACGCAGGCCCAGATTGACGAAGTTGAGCTCTTATCTCGCGATGCTGCCCAAACGGCTCGAACGATCCATATATCCCTCTCCGTTCGTAACGAGGGTATTTTGACAACGGAGAAGGATGTAACCAATCTTCAGACCCGGCGTCAAATGCGTGAACTTGGGGCTCGAACGTCAACGCAGGCGTTGGTAGCAAAACTAGACGATATACGTATACCGCACGCCGAGACCTATAATGACGAACACCTCGAGAAGATCGTCTTCCTGCTAGACGAAGGCTTCGAGTTCTGGACCCGGCATTCGCATTTAATGATGCTCGATGTGACCTATAATACTAATAGGTTCGGGCTGAAGTTACTCGAGGTAAACGGCATTACTCTCTCGGGCTCGATTTTCCCACTTGTGGCCTGTCTCTCGCCAGACGAGAACGGTGGTATCTTCGAATGGGCGCTGGGCCAGTGGAAGATCTGGATAACGGAATATGCTCTCAGCCTCGACCTCAACGACGATGCCTTCTATCCGCACGTTGTGATTACCGACTTCGATGCAGCGGAGCGTTGGGGTATCGATCGTGTGTTTCCGTTGGTCCAAAAGCAGCTCTGTACGTGGCATATCGAAAAAAACATCAAGAAGGCGGCTCGTGAGCGTTGGGTAGGGGAAATGGCCGCTCGTGAGGCTGATCCGATGAATATCGGTATTCTTGTTGATGGGGATCGCGGCGTACGAGCACAACGAACCCCGGATGACTTCGTGAAGGCGTGGAAAGGCCTTCGTGATGCAGATACAGAGGCAGAGTTTTTGGTATTGTGGCAAGCATTGCAGAACGACTTTTCAACGCAGCCTGGTAAGTCTATTATTCCGTACCGGCAGGCAGCTGCCGGGCCTACCTCTCAACACCATAGCTAAGATCACCACTTTCAACAGCCTTAGTCTCATACCTCTCTACGACGTACATTCGACTACGGCCACAGTGGGTGAAGGCGTATACCAAGACCTACCGTAACTACGGTCTACGACGACTTCGCCTTGTGAATCTCTTCACAATAGCTCGCAGAGCTTTATTAAGAACGGAACTGCACATCTTTTGCAACTATATAACGCCTTACGACTCCAACGGCAAACGGTACAGCGGCGGCATCGGGCTCTCGTTGCTAAAGAAGCAACGAGAAATAGGAATCCATACAATCAACTTCTATATCAAGAAGTCGTCTCATCAGTCTCCTACCTAAGTCTTCAAAAGGTACAGCAAGAATACCGTTTTGCTAAAGGTTACCGCCTCAATCCACGCCGGACGCCACTACAGCCTTGCGCACACAATTTTACAGCACAATTCGGGCTCCCTTGTCGTCATATTATATTGGATTATCTCGGGCTTCAAACTACCAACTCTGAGCGGATCGTGATACCGCTACGGCCGCTACCGCTATCCCTTTTTGATCGACATTGGCATCTCAAAAACCCGTTACCAGAGTCTGATCCGTATCAACGCATCCGTGACCCTCGAATTATCCTCGCCGGCGCGTTGGGCAAGATATAACAACGAGTATTCCTCAGCAAGCAGGATCGTCACGAGCCTCACAGTCACAAGCACGCCCTCGAGCACCCCGTCAGACCCAAGCCCAACGAAACGCCGCTATTGCACGCATGGCTGCCCTTGAAGCTCTACAAATGCAGCAAACAGCAGCCTCAACACCACAGGGTCAGTTCACGATATCTAACGACGTTACGATACAGCAGCCAGCCCAACCGCTACAGCCGGTACGTCAACCTCACAGCTTTCGATCGCACACAGCACAGTCACGTATACCGTCAAGCTGGGGGCAATTCGAGCCACAGGCCTCACAGACTGAGCCCGGGCCCCAACGAGGGTATCGCGAAATGCCTCGTTTTTTCACGTCACAGCTAGCTACACAAGGTGTATCTATCCAGCAAGCAATCCAGGATTTACAACAATCCTCACAGCCGCTGCCGCCGCCGCCGCCGCTGCCGCAGATAATAACGCCGCTGATGACGCCGCTGATGACGCCGCTGCTCCCACAGGATGATGTATCGCGAGCCTCACAGGATATGGCACAAGGTTACGTTGGATTTCCAAGGCAGCTACCGCAGGTCCCTTCTGAACAGCAAAATGAAGTGGGAAACGTAGGGCAGATACAGAGGCAGGCGAAGCCGCGGGTCACACGGCGCCAGGCATCGCGCAAGCGGCCGTACGAGCAGATAATCCAGTTCTGAATAGCCTCGCGGGAATCATTGAATTGCAATGCATTACTTGCGCCGGTCGGGTTGTCGCGCGATACTTCTTTTCGTATGCAAATCGCAGGCAAATTGGAGGGATCCAAATTACGTGTCGCAACTGCCTAATCCGGCCAAAGAGGCCGTGCGACAATCGCCGAGAGGCCGTGCGACTAGGGTGGCCCCATTCAGCTGAGATTTCTGCGGGCCCAAAGGGGCACATTCCTAGCCGGAAGGGGGCATCACACACATCGCCTTTACACACACACAGCCGTGCCTATAGCTCCAATTGACCTCTTCTGTGTGCCCACTATCGTTGCCACCTTCCTCATTCGGACGAGCCGCAGAACCGCTGTTCTGACACCAGCTTAGGATGGTAGCTTAATACTACAAAGGAACCCCAAACGAGCGGCAACACTCTGGGCACAGGGAGCAAGACGTATCAGCAGATTGAACAACTGGACGCACGTATACAGGCACGCCGCCATGAACAGTAACGCTGCACGGCTGCCTAACCAACAACCGCCTGTCAAGAAGAGATAGTCCCTTGTGTGGTCCAAATCGACAATGATGTGGCTGGCCACGGCCTGCCCCCATAACCTCGTCCGCAAAAGTCAGTTTACTTTCCCGAATAAGATCCAGGAGATTTGGGTGTATCAGAAGACTTGGGCGATAGCATGAAGCCTCGCCCGTACCTTGCCCCAAATTGGGACCTGGCCTCTGTTTTGGCACCGACATCAGGTCCAGGATATGCATTGTCTTGCGATTGAGATTCCTCCTCCTTGGGCCTTTGGATATTAAGTGTGATCATGTCCCGTGATATCTGCCGGACCGTTTCATCACGAAGGTGACCCCCTACTTGCCTGCTCCTCCATCCAAGTCCCTTGTTTTGTCCGTGAATCGTCTTTCCGTCAGTCGAAACCATGAACTGCATGGCGTCGCCTGTAGCGTAGTTGTCAATAACGCTAATGTTTTCCTTTAAGCGCTTGTTTGCTTCGGAACAAATGCTCAAGCTTTGGCGCGCGTTTTCCCATTCTTCACGCAGCCTCGCAATCTCGGAAGTATCCCCCTCAGAAGCAGGCACTTTCTTTATTTTCCCCATCAAGCGATCGAACAAATCCTTCTCGTGTTGTCCCAGTTTCACGACTGTGTTGTCAAGGGTCTTCCTGCACCCATTCAGACCCTCATTGACGACCTTTTCGGGGAACGTAGCTGTCTCTTCATTTTCGGACGAGCTTCCACTGCGTTTGGTGGCCAGCTGAAATTCATCGATATGCTTCGACAGTTGGTCACAAATTTCAAGGCATCGCTGCGTGCTCAATCGCTCTTCCTGCATGGTTTGCAATTCTGGCGCGCCTAAGCCGGTCTCCGATATGGCGTCTGCGAGAAAGACACCTATTTTCTCGTCGATACTTTCGAGGTGAGCCCGGAGGTCACTGTGCGCTGTCTCGACAAGGTCTTTGTAGCTTCGAATGGTCTCGGCGGTGGCAGAGCATACGCGGCTACATTCACAGCATAAACATTAGAGTTGTTACTGAATGGTTTATTTTATGGAGGGTGGTGGCTTGCAGACCGTGAAACGTACAGATTGGCGTCAGTGAGGGCAATAGTGATTGTCGACTTGTAGCCGGATAACAACCGCCTAAATCCGTCGATATCATCACCCATGTACTTGAGTTTAGCCCACCCCCGAAAGGTCGTCTGAGTCCCCGGACTGCGACACGCATTTCATGAGTTCCTGATTGAACTCTGCACAGGCATGGCCGCATCGCAGCAACGGTCGATCGAGCGCTGAGAGGTCGACAGTATGGACGGCACTGACCGTCTCCGTAAGTGGGCCTAAGACTCCGCTCAAAGCTTCAAGCTCGTCAATGAGATCGCGCACACGTTTGGGATGGTCTCGAAAACTCTGGACAGTGCTGTAAAGCGTAATGCTGGATTGGAAGGCGAACGTAGCCAGGGCCAAGAGCCCGGAAGCCAGTCCTACCGGCTCGGCCATCGCGGTGGACGGCCTCAGGCATGAAGAGCGTGTAGGAAGATCGCAGGAAGGTGTAACAAATAGTTGTGGGGTGATCGCTCGTTTTATGATCTGCGAGGCGGTGCCTAGAGCTTCTTCGTCATACTTGATTGGTTCATCTCAGCCGAATGCCCCACGTGACCTGGCAGGTGACCTACTCCGCCCTTCCTGCTCGCGTTCCAACAACATGCTATATTACCGAAATTCTGCCTTACGACAATAAGCGGGAACGCCAGTGCGCCAATCAGTGGAGTTCGTGCGCCAGGGGGGTACCATGATTTGCCGCTTCTTAACTGGCTCAGCACAGAACAAGGCGAATACGTGCAAAAAACAATTCTTTGACTTTCTGGCCAAATTTTCGAAACGGCCACTGAAATCCGAAACACCCATACCATGAAAATCGCCTCGACCGCCGTCCCCTGCCTACGGAAGTGCAGCCGCGCGCACGTTGTTGCGGGTGCGCTACGTGGCAGCAAAGATGGCGAGAACAGGCGGAAAATTCGCTCTGCTTGCGCTGGAGCCCCCCAACGGGAACCTTGGTCGGCGGGTTGACCGGGGTAATTAGCGCCATGCGCCAACCTGACGTGACTTAATTCAGGGCTGCAGATATAATCGTAGGCTTTAACCGTGCCGTACCTTCCTCTCTCCACATTCTGCTCCACTTTCTTTCGTCCCATGCAGAAACCTGATTCCCCCCCCCTCAAGGACGAGGAAGGCGGCGGCAACAAAGAGTGCACCCCGTGCCGCTTTGGTTATTCATGACTCGTGATTGGTGAGCACTATCGTTGCGTTGTTGGTCTGCTGTGCTGCTAATGCATCATCGCAGTTCGTTGTTGGGCTCCACTTTAACCTACTGGGATGCACCAGCGTACCACAGAGCGTGGACAGACGGAAGGAACGTCATCTGGACTATGGAGGCTTAGTGCGATCGATAAGAGCTAGCGTAGGATTTTGAGAGTGACAGGTCAGTCTGCAGGTCCAGGCAGCATCCAAAACACATTGTCTGTAGATTAGTTGGTTCCCATCGACTGGAGTAACCTACATACATTCGATGTGTAACACGTGAATGCGGCTCGCTGTGCGACTGCGGCAAAGTCGCCTCCCTTCCTCGCTCCACCTCTTATTGCGAAGCGGCAGTTGGGGCAGTATTACTCGTCTTCGCTTATCGATATGGAAGCCAAATTGTCGCCCGGTTCTAGTTCAAAATACGACATGCTCCATGTAGACGCAGTCTTCGCCGAAAAGGGAACCATGCGCCTCGTGTATGCGTATGACTCCGTTACAGTACTAGTTACAGGGCTGCAACAAACCAAGAACCAACAACCGGCCTCTAAGGCCAATCGGAGGTGTCCCGCCCCTGTAGGGCATTCACTGCCCACCTAACTATCATCCTGCAGCACGAGCGTGCATCATGAAAAGGATGTGGGGCCTGGCTGCAGCGCAATGTCTTGCAGAACAAGTGCTATTGGAAGTGGAAGCACAATGTGGCTGCAGCGTGGCAGCTCGCAGAGCGATGACATCAAAGTTGTTACGAGCCCAATAAGCCCCAGCGACGAGGTGAAAATGTTACCGCCGACGACGCACGAGACAGGCTGGCCGATCCGGAGCATGCTCTGGATGCGATGTGACCTTCAGGCGGAGCAGGTGGCAACGCATTCAGCGGATTTGACGGCACCATCCTGCGGCTGCCGGATCGAGACCTGATGGCAGTATCGGTGTACGCAGAGGGGAAGAGGGGAGGCAATGTAGATATGATGGTATCGAGGTACTATGAAGTACAACAGGAGAGGAGGAGGAAGGAAGGGAAGCTGGGCGACGCGGGGTCTCAGAGTCGTTGGTGATAAAGTGACCAGGAGCCAGAATCTACATTGCCAGACAGCGTCCGCTTCGAGATGCATTTCAGCAGCTCTACTTTTGAGTACATGTACATAATCACCCATAGTTCCGTGTTGCTCCTAATACTGCAGTTGGTTCTCAATGCGAGGTGGTGACCGCAAGGTGGATGTGCGTTGCTGCAAGTGGGTGCTTCTGACTGTCCCCGGCACGGGTGGTGTGAGTCATTTGGACGGCATTGCAGCTGCAGATCGTAGCCCCGTCACATCCTCTCCCTGTGCATTAGCGGATGTTTGCCTGCATCGAACTGCAGCCACCATTGTGATGTAACGACCTGAGCAAGAGCAAGATGGAGATTTCTCAGCCAGCGTCCACTCAGCCCATGGCCGTTCATCAAACCCGCTTTCCCACCGACCCTCTGCCTGGCACCCGCCCGACACGAATCCTTCTAGGATACTGGAAGCAATCCAGCGAGCCTGATCCAAGGGATCGGCATGCCGTCTATGGAATAGGGGGATTCTAACAGGCCACCACCTCTGCCTAGCAGGCCACCAAAAAATGGGTCCGATGTGGCGCAGTAGCCTTTGGCATCAGCCCGCCAATTTTGTGCACTTCCTCCGCACCTACTGCACAACATACTTCATATTGAAGTGAAGCCATCGCCACCCTCAACGCATTCTGCATTAAATTGAAGCTATCGCCGCCATCATGAATACTGTTTTCTCACGTCAATATGCCACCTTTCAGGCTGCTGGCGATGCCCTCAACGCTGCAGCCCGCGAAGAGGGATTTGCCCTTGCAATCCGCAATAAGCGCCCCAACGCTGCTGCTCCGACCTACGTGCTACTGAGATGCTCCAAAGGGCGCATTTGGCATGACCAGGGTAATGAGGCTATCCCTAGGTCAAAGCGGCGTAAGACAAATACGCAGATGACTGGGTGTAGCTTCCTTGTGTCTGTGAAGCTACACCAAGAGGCCACGCCGCCATATTGGACTGCCCAGGCAAGCGGCAGTCACAACCACGAATTCACCCCTGCTATTACACATAGCAAATACCGTGCTGAGATTACGAGCCGATACCATAATGCCATCATAACACAATATAATAATGGCCTACGGCCAGTTTATATTGCAGCACAGCTACGAGGGCGTCCCGCTGAAGACCCTGATGTTGCCGGCATCTCAAAGAAGCAGATACACAATGTGATTGCACGACATCGCCGAGAAGAGCTTGCTGGGCGTACGCCGCTTCAATTCCTCTACGATCAGCTACAGGATCGTGGCTTCTTCTTTAGGGATTCAAGGGATCCTGACGGCCGTCTCTCTAATCTTCTGATCGTGCCACCTAGCGGCGTGAAGCTGTGGCGCCGCTTCCCGCATCTTATGGTGTTCGACTGCACATATAAGACCAATCGATTCAACTTGCCCTTATTAAATATATGCGGAGCCACGCCACAAAAGAAGACATTCTCAATAGCCTCGATTTTCCTTAGCGGCGAGACCGAGGGCCATTATCAGTGGGCAATACAGCAGCTTCTTAATCTCGCAGCAGAAGAAGGAATTGCAACACCACGGGTTACAGTCTCTGACCGTGATGTGGCCCTCATCAACGCCCTAAAGCTAATGCCGGGATCAGCTCATTTACTTTGCCGTTGGCACATTAAGAAGAATGTGCTTGCAAAATGCAAGGGCTTCTTTGCAAAGGCTACGAAAGATGCCCACGGTAATGTTGTTCGAGCCCCTAGCTTTGAGAAATTTCTTCAAGAGTGGGCAGAGCTCATAGCATCGCCAAACGAGGCTATATTTAATACTAAACTTCAGGCATTCAAGACTCGGGCCGGCACCCAGAAAAGGCTGTCAAATACGCTACTAAAACATGGATTGAGCCCTGAAAGAGAAATTTGTTCTTTGCTTTATTAACCGGCATCATCACTTCGGCCACACTTCGACCTCTATTATTGAGGTCTCCATGCACACATGAAGCGGTTTCTTTGGTCTTCAACAGGCGATTTGACTTCTATTTTCCACAAGTTCTGCGGCTTCTGGAAAGACCAGTCCTCTGAGATCGAATATATTGCGAAAAATAGCCTACACAAGATATCAACCTTCAGCCTCAAGCCCATCTATATCAGGGTCCGTGAAAGGGTATGGTCTACAGCCCTTGAGCTAATGCAAGAGGAAGAGACCACAATCAAGAAGAAAGGGGACCAGCTACAACAGCCGCCTAGGCGTTGTGATGATCGATCTCCCTGTGGCTTCAAGTCCTCATTTGGGCTGCCTTGCCGGCATGATATCTTCACTCGAACGAATAGTGGCCTACCTTTCCTACAAAGCGATTTCAACGAATTCTAGCATCACGAGCCCCCCCAAGCACCGCCCACACGAATTGAGGCGCCATACGAGCCTCTGACAATTCGAGCCAAAGGCAGGCCAAAGGGTGCTCTTGGGCAACGAGGAACAAGGCGTAATCCCTGCGAATTCGAGGTTGTTGAAGCGCATGAGCGCGCCGAGGTAATGCCGCCGCCGTCAACAGCTCCAGCAGCGATGAACACACGAGGGCGCGGTGCCCAAGGGCAAGAGCAGCGGCAGCGGCCACAAGAGCGGCAGCGGCGGCAATAGTGGCAGACGATCCCTACGAGCCAGGTACAGAGATGCCTCGTGCATATCAGCGTGCCGGCACGCCTTCTGATGCTAGCGATGACGATGATATAGGCGCCTGCGCCGGCGACGACTCTCAATACCACGAATTTGACTCTATTCAGTCAGAAATCGTGGTCGCAATGTCCTCAAACGACGAGTCAGAGGATGAGCTTGCTACACAGGGCGCCCCTGCTGCTGTTGAGGCGTCGCAAAGGCGGCAAAGAGGGCCAGTAGCGGCCACAGCTACAGCGGCTGCCAATGAGCTAAGTTGGGATCACGTGGATGCAGCGGTTGAGGCAGACGAGCGGCTATTACAAGACCTTATAGATGAGGACTATATATAATTATCTCATGATAGCTTCAATTGATCACTTCAATATGAAGTATGTTGTGCAGTAGGTGCGGAGGAAGTGCACAAAATTGGCGGGCTGATGCCAAAGGCTACTGCGCCACATCGGACCCATTTTTGGTGGCCTGCTAGGCAGAGGTGGTGGCCTGTTAGAATCCCCCATGGAATACTTGACCACGACAACAAGTTCTGAGTCAAGGTGGTACGAGAGACGAGAGACGGCCGCTTCGTGGATGGAAACTTCCCCCTCGGGAGCTGGGGCTCTGGATTCCGTACGAGGAGGTAGGCTTTGAGAACCACCTCAAGGCTCTCAGCAAACAGGAAGTCAAGGAGTACTGCCGCATTCGGCAGTACCAGCTGGATCACGGCGAAATTGATAGGAAGCGGATCGAAAACGAAACAAGGGCCGTGTATGAGGCCAAGACCCGAGCCAGAACCCCCATTAAACAGACCAGTGTCGCTATGCCGACTTTCAGCATCACCCGTCTTGCCAACGTGGACATGGATCGGACCAGCCCGAGAACAAGCTATGGCGGCGGTGAGCCTGGCCAGTCGCGGCGAATCGATCCGCGAGCGGACAGACGGGCGCCGCGTCAATTGCTCAACGAGAACGAGCTGAGCTCGGCTCAGCTTCGTCAGAGGCTCCACGTCATAGAACGCACCAGCGCCTTAGCGCGTCGCGAGCTAGCCAGAGCTGAGGCGGCCCAGGTCATGTGAAGGTTGAGGAAAGTCACATCTTCGTAGGCATGCCGATGGTCCTTCCTGCGACGGATACCTGCGTGGAATGCTGGTGCCGAAATCATCAGTATATCGAGATCCTGCGCCCTCCGTTGGTACCGTGGCCTGATATCCTTCTGGCAGGGTCTCTCCACTCGATGCCCGCCAGTGCTCGGTTCATCTTCCCAGGTCATCCCCTCGATGAGTAGAGTACCGTGGACGATGTTGCCGTGGGCCGATGGTGCTCGTGGCCCCTGTTGGTTCCTGTATCGCGGGAGAGATCTGGATGATATGGGCCGCGCCGTCTTCTTCCTGGTCCTGTCTTTCTGCTTCTTCCCAAAGGTGGTCTCGCCGCTCTACGTCGGCCTGAACTCGTAGGGAAACTGGCTTCGGGTACATAAGACGAGAAGCCTTAAGTGCAATATCCGGGATCCAGTCCCTCTGGGCTTCCAGCTCAGGAGGGAAGATAAGGCGACGACGGCGGCAGTCGAGACGGATATCGAAATGGCTCAAGAACATAAGTCCTACGATCAGGTGGAAATCGTTCCTCGTCCCTAGGTCGGCCTCAAGGATCGGTTGATCGCGGAAAGTCCGCCCCTGGAGCTGGAAGTCTGCTTGGATAGAAGAAGTGATACACTGAGCACGACCATCAATTCCCTTAATATAACGCGGCGCTGTATAGCTGCGTCTAGGGAGGTCGAGTCGTTTAGCTGCTGGCTTTGTTAGGCGTGAGTTGCCTAATAGCCACGTTTGTGCTCCGGTATCCACAAGGATGCGTACTGAGATAGCGAGACCATGTTTGCGAATCGTGCTATTAATCACAAAACTAGGACCGCCAATTAAGTGATCAATTGTCGATAAGTTCAAGTTCTCAGTCAGCTTGCGAATACTTAGGATATAGCCTGTGCGGGAGCCTTTGCTCAGGCTATGGCATTTCCCGCTACCTCGAACTCCTCATCTTGATCGTCCTGCGACTCGCTACCTTCGCTGTCCGATCCTTCCAATAACGCTCTCAGTTGGTCGTTTACCGTCCCCACTGCCGCCACAAGTGCGGCCACTCGTGGGGATCCTTTGTCGGACAGACGGCAGCCTGATGGCCCGGTCTTTTGCAAACGAAACAGTTCCTTAAAGGTACCATCAGACGGCAACGTGGTAGTCGGCGGGGTCGAGGGTCGCTGGGCCCGTAACTCGGTTTGGGGAGCGAATCGGACTGCCTTTGACCGAGGAGGCGGATTATTCCTCGGTCTGGGGTCGGTATCCTAGTCTTCGCAACCTCCTCTCGGTCCTCCTTCAGTCCCTCTAACGCGTCAACCTGAACAAGATACCGGGCAGTCATCCGGTCACGATATTGAGCAAACGTAAGCTCCTCGTACCGCTCGTAGATATCTTGGCTGTTTAGGCGGATCCGACCGGTGAGCTTCTTGTGAAGCTCTGTGATCCGGTCTCGGTCATGGAGTCCTGCTTTTGTCGCAAGGGTTACGAACTTCGCTGCGAAGTCGATAAAGGACTCCCCTTGTTTCATTTTCAGGCTATCCAGCCGCTGCCTCGCCTCCCACTTGCGGCTCTTGTTATCGTAAACTGACCCAAGGAGCTCGAAGATCTGACCCACGGATCTGATCTCCAGGTCGTCCTGTTTCGCGAGGTAGGGCGCTAGGACCTCGTGCGCTTGTCCTTGATAAGGGTCGCGATCCACGTAATCCTAGCGAATTCGTCGGGAAAGAAGTAGGCGTTTAATTCCATCTTCCGCTCCACTGCTGCCTTCCAGTCAGCGTAACGCGGATTCGATCCATTGTCCAAGGGCTCCGGGTCCTTGATCTTGATTGTATTGTGCCGGGTCCGGGCTGTGGACGTAGTCGACGATGGCGCCTGCGAGGGTTCGTTCTTCAGACGGGGAGATGGCGTGAGGTCGTGGGGTGTGTGGTGCTCCTGAGGGGCCCGGGGTATCCTGTCGGAGCGCCCCAGAGTCTTTGATGCCTGCATAGCTCGCCTCGATCGCACGGATCTGGTCCGTGTAATCCATAAGATCTTGCTGGCGAGCTCTAGCCTGACGGCCTAGCTCCTTCTGGTTCGCGAGGGCTCGTTCGAGGATCTGACGGGCAACCTTCTCTCGGGTGCTGGACCGTTCGACCGTCCAACGAAGTAACTGTAACGCCGCGTTACGTTCGTTGACTAAGTGTTGCAGTTCCCTAGCAAGGCCCTCATGTTTCGCATTCGCGATGACGCTTTTCACCCAGGCCGCGTCTAGGTCCCGCTCGTGCGGCCTGTCTTTGCTGTAAAGGGGGTAGGGTTCTCCTGCGCGGCAAGGACGGTGTGTGCGAACTGCTGGACGAGGTCCTGGTCGGAATCCGTAAGGAGGAGCTCGTGCAAGTCTGTTGTCAGTTTCTGGGGGACCTGGAAGTCGCGGCCCACTCTAGCCGTCTCTTCTAACGGTCTCTGCATTGTCGTTCGTCCCTCAAGTAGGGGATCAGGTTGTCTCTCGTTCTTCTGACTAGCCATCTGTACTTCGATGCAGTCGTGGTCGTCGGCGGGCCCGTCTAGGCTGGCCGGAGTCTCGCTCGTCGTAGGAGCCATCGTACGCGTACTAGCGGACGGAAGATCAGTTTCTAACTGATATCTTTGGAATCTTCCACGTAGGGTAAGGGGTGCCGGGTGTGCGGCGTGACCGGCGGCAATAACCACTTAGCGCAATTGGCAGAGCAATTAACGCAAATGGGTATTGGGGTCGGTAAGGGCGATCTTAGTATTATGTCACGGCGAGCGAAAGGAGACTGCAGACAAAGCTAGCAAGATACTCTGTAACGAAAGAATACTAAGATGAAGAGGAAAGAAAACCACATAACTCCTAACGCCGTGACCTCCTCATATCCTCCCTGTCGCTTCGGACCTGGATGACGGGGCTGCCCGTACCTACCGTCGGAGCTGCCCGTGCCCGTGCCCGCCCGCGGGTGCCGTGCCCGTCCGCGGGTGCCGTGCCCGTCCGCGGTTTCAGTAGTAGTCCCCAGGTGTGTCACGGTAACCCAGGGGTCCCAGGTAGGGCCCTGACAGGCTCCCTATTTATATCCCTTGGTTCCCTATTGATATCCCCTTTTCAGTTGTATAGGTACAATATCTAGGAGGCTGGGCTCCTTTCCCCAGCCCCCCCTTTGCATACTGACTTTCCCTAGTCGCCGGGGGCTCTTTCAGCTTCCCCCGTATATGCAGTCTCTCTACAGCCTATGTGGCTGCCTAATGCGGTCTCCTAATAGCCTTCTGCAGCCTCAGAACTCTCTACAGGCTGCCTTTCGATCTAGCCTGTCGGGGCCCTTAGCTGTATACCCCTTATGGTCACCTCGAGCTCAAGATCTCAGACGTGCTTCGCGACAGCATTCGATTCGATGCGAATCTGCAGAGGCCCCGTTCGATTCTAACGCCAAGTCTTGGCGTTCGATTCGATAGATTCGTAAGATGTCCGTCCCTGGCAGGGGAAACAGCAGCGGAAGGACAAGGATAGGAATAGCCACGGTTTTATGTCAACACTACTCAACACACTTGGATTCAACGCAATTTTGCACTCGACTGATCAACCACACCAAGCCAGTCAGTTGACAAGGTAAATTAAATGTCACTGAGATGCCTGGTGGGTTGAATGGAATGACTTGGAACCCTGATTCCAGTCCTGAATATCTCCTCTTGGCTCTTTCTTCGTGCTCACAAGTTTACTTTCCGCGCTCTCTCAGAAAGGCGAGTAATAAAGACTTAGGTAGGGCTTTGAATGGCGATATGAGAAGGAAACTCCTGAGTGTATGTAGTTGGTTTTCGTTAAATCGAGGCCGGGACTGTCAGCAATGTTAGTTCTACTCCAGCCCGTTGCGGCATTAGTCCACCACAGGGTCAACTTACTAGTATGAGGCCACTTTATCCTTGTACGTGTTGGCCAGATCCGTCCAGCCCAGAACCTTGTAGAAGGCCACGAGTGCGTTCATTATCACCTCGTCATTCATTCCAACGGTAAGGAGGTATATTTGGGGGTCCGGGAATCTTTTCGTGGGAGACAAGGTCCAGTTCGCCATCATGACGGGTCGGTAGTCCTCGGGAGGAGGTGTCCCAAAAGTAAAGTCGGGCCGGACGTTGCTCCGATACCCTTCAGGTATCTCGAGAAGATCCCACAGCTTCCTCAGGAGGGTCAGACCATCAGCACATTGAGGATCTTCCAGACGTTTCCGCCAAGAGTCCACATGTTCTCTACCCGATCCCATGATACTACCTGGTCGGTGACGTAGAATTTCAGGCGACTTCGCTCGGGAGCGCACAGGTCGACGCCGAGAAGGAATGGGGCAATGGCGCTATCTCTTGGGTTTCCGTCGTCTTGTAGGCCGAGAGTTGCAAAGGTGTTGCACGGGCTCCTTCAATCCCGAAAGGGCGAGCGTCTCGATGGAGGCGAGAATGAGCTTTCCTGGCGAAATTCCAGTCGCCAGCGACTTCATGCCTGGGAAGAAGTAGGCCTTGGCGCTGATACCGCCATTCTGGAATTCTACCGCCAGGGTTTGCTGACCTCGTCCGGACATGGGAGGGGGCTTTTTGAGCAACCGACTTTCTTCATCAGGAGTCACCACAAGTTCGTGCTGGAAGTGCCTGAACCGGGCTAGATCGATGGTGTCGTCTATACTTGCAAGGCGGGATAAGCATTCGTCTGGTGCCGACTTGTTAAAAGCATCGACGCCGGATTCTGCCAAGTGCGAAAGTGGTTCGAACCCAATCCGCACGATATTATGGAGGAGATTCCAGCTGAGCTCGAAAGGAACGCCATAGGTGGTCACATTGCTCCACCAAGGCAGAGGTGCCTGCCCAGCGACAGGAAGGTGCCGAGGTATGGAACCAGAAGTTGCTGCAGGAGATGGAGGCAAGGAAGCTGGTCTTTCTGCGGATACTGAGCATCACGCAGAAGCTTGAGCAATTTGGGTTCAGTGTGTTCCCACCAACGTCGCTGGTCGTCATTGGGAAACCTCAAGTTCTTGCCGAGGAGACGGAGTGCCTCTTCTTCAGGGCGCAAAATCTCAGTTGCCATGGTCCTTGTATGGCAGGGATGCGGATACTAGAGCGAGATGAAAGATTGGGTGTTGTAGAGAAGTGGACTGTACAGGGAGTCATAATCTTCGCTGCTGGCCGCAGGACGAGGTGCGGCTTTGAATTCTTTAAGTACGATTCTATATAAATTGTAAGTGTCTGTGAACATGTACGGTAGCGCGGCAAAAAGAGCAGTCAGGTCACCACCCTAGACCTCATAACACCCCCACCCTGGTCAAGACCCCCCCCCCCCCCTTTCCCATTCAGCCGGCGCCTTCGCTCGGCCAAGCTCTTAGTTGCCGAGGCCCGAGGTCTTTGATGCCAAGGCAAAAAGTGCGGAGGAGGACCTGCGTGCTGCTTTAGGTCCCCTAAGGGTAGATCGCATCGTTATTTGCCTCGTGAACCTCGAAGCAGCGACACGCTTACAAGTAATAAATACATGATCTTAAACTGTACTAAAAGAAGCTTAAGTATATTTACTTCTACTAATAAATACTTCTAAGTAAAATTATACTTGTTGTTAACGTTAGGATAAACTACTCTGCTATATAAAATAGGGGCACTGTGGGAATTGTAGTAATCCATTGTACCCATCTAGATAGGTCACGTGCGCTCTCACGTGTGCAGTTGAGGATAGCGGAGGACACATAGCTAGCTCCGTGCCCTTTGCCCCCTCTTCCCCCTTTCTAGAACAGACATCAACGATTACACATACCATTGCGATTTGCACGCAGGCCTGTGTAGAGACCTACCGACACTGATCAGTGATTGCAGTGACAATCACAGACAGCTAGGACAGAAGAGACAAATCGCTAACCTTCAAGATCGGCTGCAAGGCATCGGTTAAGGAAGGTTATTTGTGCTAAGTGGCTATCTCAGACTGCAAGGCATCTGGGAGAACCTACAAGCTATTAATCGGCTGCAAGGCATCGATTAGTAGTGCGACCACATCGCCTAGCGACTTCTATTATCGGCTGCAAGGCATCGATCAACAGTTGTTACTAGACCCGACAAAGACGTATTTCGACAGCCAGATACGACTCCATCGTCTCATTCACTTGATCAACGATGACCCCGACCGACCGAGCTACGACTCCGAACGAGAGCGCCCAGCTCGAACAATTGAGCGAACGGATGCAAGGACTAGCTATCCAGACATCCGTATACGATAAAGTTGATGTTACCCTTTGGGGACAAGACATCAAACCTGACGAGGAAGATGAGATCGCAGTTACGACGTACGCCGCTAGGTTCATGTCCAATGCCCAATTCGAACGCCTAGAAGGAGACGACATCCTTGACCATTTTCAACAACACTTCGAAGGCTGGAACCAAGACATATGGAACCGGGTACATATGGACTACAAGAGAGCCCTTAGATTACTTCTAAGGAGACGTGGCATCTATACAGGACGGAAAAATGGCCCTTTGCACCCCAATTCATCATGTTGCAAACTGCGGAGGACCGACCTGCATGGCCAGAACGAGTACATGGAGATGGATTTTGACATTGGGACGACCGCTTATAAGTTACGAGCAACAGGATCAAATGCCCTAACTTCTCCCCGAGAACCCCAATCGCCACCGGTAGCAACACCCGTTACAGTCTTAACGAACAACAGCCCATTAAGACCTTAACGAAGCCACCTGCCCAGGAACCCATCACTGAGGCACTACCGATAACAACATCACCTCCCACGACTTCCGCTCTGACCCAAGATGCACCTAACTTGAACTCTCGTACAGCCCATCCGACAACCCACCGCTTCAAGCACCCCGAACTCGTCCAATCCGCCCAAAACCCCACCTAAACCTCCGTCCGAGCATATGCATCTCGACGCATATACAAAACTTCCCCCGGATGATACCCCGAATGCCACTGTTGACGCAGATACCCAATATATGTTCATGAAGCTCTGGGATAAGGACCAGAACTACACAGGAGAGCCGTACGACCTCCTCGATGAGAAACTCCGAATCTTCATGAGTATCTGCTACAACATCCAAGTGAAACCGTCACAATTTCACGCCCTTTCCCCGAATCCTCGCTGGAAGAGCACAAACGTTCTACATTGACAAGATCGAATGGACTACCACGTTTAGGAAGGCATACGACAGCATCAAACAACACTTTGACACGGAAGTTAACCATGTCCATTACTATACAGATTGGACCACAACCACTTTCAACTCGATTCGTGCCCAAGATGCTTCCAAATCCCTCCACGAAGTCCTTCAACTACTCTTCGATAAGCTACAACTCTGTCAGAGAGCCCTTGGCCCTGACTACGCAGGAAACATTCCACTGCGTACTACGCTTATCATCGCATGCCGTGGTGTACCCGAACTTGAACACGCCCTCTTCAAACCTGCAGCAAAGATCGAGACCCTCTTTGCAGATCTACGATCTTCCGTTGAGACCCACCTTGCCCGACAGACAAACCCTCAGTACTTGCAAAGCCCTGACGGATCATTTGGACCAACGAATCCGAACAATCAGTACTACCTCGATCGCCGATACCATAACAACCGCGTACGAGGAAGATACGGATACTCAGGACAACGACCCAATCGCGGATATGGACAAGGCTACAACCGTGGAAGCTACAGGCCCTCAAGCCATAGCAACTACACTAGCCACACCAATCGCAATTGGACCAAAAGTGCTTTGTTTGTGGACAAGAAGGTTGCTGGTCAACCAAACACTCTGCAGAAGAACGACAAGAGGCCAAGGACCAATATGTCGCACGTTGTCAATTCACAGGCATACAACCTCCAAACTTCATAGCCTATCTTATAGACTACGAAGGTCATGAGCTTGATGAACTCACTACCGACGACATATGGGAAGAACCTGACAATGGCACCAACAATCACCTAGACAATGGAGAAGTCTACCGGACGGATCAAACCATTGTTCCCGCCTAGCAATTCGTCATTGAAGATCAATATTCAGTGGACAATTTCCCAGGCATCATGATTGACACAGGTTCAGCAAAGTCTCTACAGCCGGTCACTCTCAGTACATTGCTCTACAACGAGAAGACCCTCTGTAGCCCTAGACAGCTCAACCTCCGGCCAGGCTACCATCACATTTGGACACGGCGAAGCCACTCACTCGATTGGTTCCATCGCCCTCAAAACACCAGTCGGAAGGATCACGTTCCACATCCTTCAGACCCTACCCAGGAAGAAGAAGAACCCCAGACCGGCATGAAACCCCGCACCCCACAGAGAGGACGCCCGCCCGGATCAAAGAACAAGCCCCAGCCCGCAGCACACGGAGCCTCGAGGACCGGCCGGCACACAAGAGCAAATAACAATATGTGCCTGTAGTCCCTAGAGGAGCCATATGCCCACAAAGAAGAAAAGCTCGAGGAAGCACAATTTCGAGCCAAGCCAAAGACCTCGATGACCACAAGTACAACGGTTGACTCCAACGCATTTGATTAGCACCAGCGCTACGTTCAAGCATCAGCGCTACGTTCAAGGTATACACAATCAAACAGTTCCTGTCACCGACAAGTCTTCCAAATCTTCTTCGACTGTTCACCTCTTTGACCCCAATACACTCTTTTCCCCTCTTTTCATTATGGCCCCACTTTTTGGGCCTGTTGACATTTTGCCACCACTGCAGCTGGTCTCTCCCTCTCTTTCCCTGCTCGTTACAGCGATTGCAACCACAAAAGAAAAGTTGCCAGTGTGGGAATTGTAGTAATCCATTGTACCCATCTAGATAGGTCACGTGCGCTCTCACGTGTGCAGTTGAGGATAGCGGAGGACACATAGCTAGCTCCGTGCCCTTTGCCCCCTCTTCCCCCTTTCTAGAACAGACATCAACGATTACACATACCATTGCGATTTGCACGCAGGCCTGTGTAGAGACCTACCGACAGGCACCCCTAAGGGAGGGCTAGTTTATTTAAGTACATAGGTTTTTTTCTATCTAAAACTTATAAATAAAATATATTTATAAAGTATATAAAAGAATATAAAATATTAATAAAGTTGATGGTAGGCACCTATGTGCCTACAGATACGCATGCGCACAAGCTGTAGGCTGAGTCACAGTCACGACAGGTAGGGTAACCGGTGATGACTTCAATTGTAACTAACTAGGGAAGAGGAAGCTATTCACAAGAAACGGAATGTGCACCCGGTAATGGGGGCATGCAGCCGGGGCTGCGTGCCCTGATCGCGGGGTAGGGTGTCACGTGGGAGTCGTGCATGAACCGTGATGGTATCCCGATTGCACGGGTTACTCAGCAGGTTAGTATTCCAACAAAAGTATTAATTATAAATATTATAGCCTAGCTAATTATAAGAGGGACTAGCTAAAAAGTAAGCTATAGCGCCTTAGTAATTAAGATCTTATAAAGTATAAAGTAACCCCCTTTCCACCCCCTTTCCCACCCCAAACACACACACCTACACCCACCCCCTCATCTTGCGCTTAAGCAAGTGCACTCCTCGTCAGGCAGGATATTATGTAGCGCCCGTTACTTAATTCTGAGCCATGGGCCTCCGCCTGATCAACCCCTGCCTGGACTTGAGCTGTCCTCAATCGATTGGCAGGCTCTACGACTGTCATAGAAAAGCGATTCGACAATGACAACCTTCGATGCGATTCCGCTGCCCTACGCCGGCGCAGTCAGTGCAAGCTTGCTCGTCATACTGGGAGTCACATTGTTATTTCCCTTGAACAAGGGCAACTTTATAATCATTAATCGACACCCGTGGGACTTTTTTCAGACAAAGGCCAAACAGAAGTTTGAATACAATGCAACTGCTCTACTCAATGAGGGTCTTCAGACGGTGAGCTTATAGATCCGGTCTGGGCTCCATATCTTTGCCAGCAGGGACTTACCTGCTTTATAAAGGGTTGCTCAGCATTCCGGCTGGTGACCAACATGGTCACCTATCTGATCCTGAAAGACAAGTATGCAGAAGAAATCAAGAATGATAGTCGGTTCGGCGCTCATGAAGCAGTAGATCCTGTAT